AAGTGAATGCCTGAGCTGGAATTTGAATGTTGTCTCTCTGGTGCTAAGGCTACAATGTTGTGGGTGCTTCCTGCAGCTGGTCAGTGACAGAGCTCTGTGCTACAAAACAGCCACCAGGGTTTCTGAGTTACATTGACTGAGTAGAGTTGATATGGCAACAATTAAAATAAAAAGTGTCCAATTTCTTACTAGTGAAAATTTGTCTAATGAGGTATAACATTTGGTGTATACCATTTGGTGTATACCATACAGCGGCAAATTTGATGTACTTTCTTGTCTTTGCCTCCTAGAGTCCCATAAAGTTGTAGCTTTACTCTCCTACGAATTAGGAAAATAAAAACCAGACATTATAATTTAAAGGAGTCATACTGTAGGGATTATGCTTAAACTTTGAATTACTTGAGCATTTGTTTTGCAGAGCTAATATCAGAAAGGGCTCTCAGGTGAGGGTGTCTGTCTGTGACAACTGCTGGTGATCTGTAGGGTTGCTTCATTGGACCTGATTAAGCAGGATCTCTTTTTCCCTCCTTGGACCATGAAGCAACCTCTGAAGTTGCATGGCCCAGAAATAGAGGTCAACCCACCAAGATAACCCTACCTCATAGGGTCGTTGTGAGAATTAAATGACTCAAAACAGAACTTAAAACATAGTTAGCACTGAATAAATGTTAGCTGTTATAATAATAATTATTATTGTTTGTTCGTTGTTTGAGAATATGTGGTAATTGTTTTCTCCTGCAAAAATCTTTCAGTGTTACTCTGAGCCTAAAGAAACAAGTTTCTTGAGATGAATACAGCTTTTTTGATTGTAGGAAGAATAATTCTACAGTGATATTAGAAGTTTCACATTATTTCTTGCCATTTCCTCAAACTGCATAGCGGTGAGCCAAGCAAAAACCTATCAGAAGGGGAGTTTTGAATATAATGCATTAGATACATTAATAAACAAATTGGTTATCATGGGACAAATGAACCTTATACTTATATTATCTTCTTGTGTAGGGAGATTCAGGTGGACCTTTATCCTGTCGAAGAAAAAGTGATGGAAAATGGATTTTGACTGGCATTGTTAGCTGGGGATATGGATGTGGAAGACCAAACTTGCCTGGTGTTTACACAAGGGTGTCAAACTTTGTTCCTTGGATTCAAAAATATGTCCCTTCTCTTTTGTAATTGGATTTTTGACTATTATTCATGTGATAGAGTCTTTAAAAAGAATGCAATAATTATTAAATAAAATGAGTCACTTAATTCTTTTTTTTCTGGAAATGTCAGATTGCCTGCATTTTGTATTTATTGAAATACAGGCAGATTAATATGTATTTTATTCCATTAAAAACTGTCTTGGGATATAAGTTTCTTAATTCTTAAGTATCAAAGGGCTATAGAGTCAGGGATGGCAGAAACCTAAAGTACCATCATGAACCAAGCTTCTAAAATAAGATAGGAAATGGATAAGATGCTCCAATATCCTAACTTTATTTTATGTGCCCATTCAAGGTACAGATATTGGTGTAAGGATTTAAGCAAATCTGATTTATTGAAATAAGAAATTCTGTAAAAAAAAAAAAAAGGATTGATCTTTACCTTTCCCTTGAAATTAAGTGCACAAAAGTATCTCCTTTACAAATGCAAATAAATCAAAACTCAGTCACTGACAGAGGAAGTACCTATATTGCTGCTTTTAAATCCAAGTTTACCCAACCATATTGTTGTTGCCGTCCATTCGGCTCTGGACTCGCGGGACCTCATGCACAACAGAATAAAGTGATGCCCAGTTCTGGGCCATCCCCATGCCTAGTTGCAGATTGGACCTCTCACCTTATTAGGGTATGTAATATCTTCAGCATGGCACATGGTAGCGTTGTGTACAGGGAAACCAACTGACCAGCAAACAAAACTGATGGTTAGCAACCTTCACTAAAATTATAGAATGAAGCATCATGGTAGTTTGGACTGAAAGTATGAGTATGGGATTCAAGGAAATTGTGGTAATACTGGCCAGCATTTGAAAAGCAAGGGAATTTTTTATTATAGTTATTGTCTTAGTCTGGGTTCTCCAGAGGAGCAAAACCAGTGAAGCACATATAGATATGTAAAGAGAGAAATTTATTTAAAGGAAACGGCTCATGCAATTGGGGGGGGCGCTGGCAAGTCTCAAATTCGTGGGTTTGATTTCACACTTGATCCTGGAATTATCATTTCACTAACAGAAGGCAGATTTATTAATACCACCTAACAGGTAAAAACAGCAGAATAGAGAAGAATGATATTTTTTTGTCGTCCCTGGGACAAAGTCAAAGGAGGGATAACAATACTATCTTTAAGTAGGATCCAGAGGAGTAAAAATGGTTTTCATAGGACCTCAGAAAATCTTAACGCAGCAGCAACAGGAGAGGGGAAGACGCATCGTCCCCCCGATCAGATAGTAAGACTGAAATCTGGATAAGATTTCCCAGAGACAGTGAATATATTCCAGTTCATAGAACATATTTTGATTTGCTAAAAGACTGATTTCTTTAGATTAAAGATAAAATATCTTAATACTTCTCTGAATAGGTCCCTAAGAATACAGGAAACTGGCTACCAAAAACCAACCAAACCATTTGCCTTCGAGTTGATTGCTACTTATGGGAGGAAAAACACTCCAAATAGAGGGAGCATCGTATACAAAGAAGTAGGAGGGCACTGGAATAGGATAGCTCAGAGCAAGCCAGGACAGGAGCCTGGTCAGACCAGAGGGGTCTATCCCCGCATCTGATAAAGGAAGGAGGGAAGACTACATACTAGTTATTACAGGTATGTAATGTGTACAGATTCCTCTCTCTTTGCACCTCACATTCATTCTCTGCTTTGCTGTGAGCCGTGGGAGCATGACCTCCAGTTCTGCATTACCAGCGTCGGTGGGAGTCACTGGCAGGAGGCTGGCAGGAGGGAAAAAAGAGAGGTTAGGGCATGTATTCCTCTCTACTCTCTCCCTGCATGGCCACAGTTCCATGGCTGCATCTTTCTATGATGACAATCCTGTCTGGAGGCCCCTTTTCAAAGAATCTAGCTCTCAACCAGGCTCCATTCCCTTTTAAGCCTAGGGGTGCTGATGGCTTCTTGCCGTTGCTGGTCCCTGGGTTTCTCAGCACCCCTTGCTGTTTCCCTTAACCCTAGCTCCTTTGTTACAAAGCCTCTTCAAATATCCCAGCTGAGAATGCAGCCTGATTTCTGCAGGACCTGACTGTACTTCTGCTCCCCAGTTAGAGCAGCGGGGGCAGAGTCGGCCAGTGCAGGCCAGAAGCTGAGTTGCTGCAGTTAGTACAACCCCATTCGGCAGGCAGATGGAGTCCAAAGTCCAGATATGAAACTGTTGTTGGAAGCCATCAAGTTGATTCCAACTCATAGCGACCCCATGTGACAGAGTGGAACTGCCCCATAGAGTTTTCTTGGCTGTAATCTTTATGGGAGCAGATCACCAGGTCTTTCTCCAGCAGAGCTGCTGGGTGGGTTCAAACAGCCAATCCCTTGGTTAGCAGCTGAGCGCTTAACCATTGCACCACCAGGGATCCTCAGACATGAGACTAGAGAAAGATAAATGATGTCAGGAATCTAAGCAAAGCGTCTTAACAATAGCCATAGAAGGTGCCAGACTTTTGAATACAAGTCAACATGTTTCAAAGTGGAGCTTCTTTATATGCTTCCTGTCCATACTCCACACTGGACTCAGAATGTGTGTGCGTGTGTGTGCATGGACTTCTGTGTTTAGGGTGTGATGTGCTTGAGCCTGGGGGAGGAGGGGTGGCTGGAGGGTGGTGAAAAGTAGGGAGGTGGGGCTTTTGGATCAGCATACACTGTGCTTAGCGAACAGTAATTCTAAACCATTAAACCAGAAGTTCTGATCTATGGGTGAAGTGTCAAGGAGACTGTGTGTGTGTTTGCTGGCATGCTTTTTTTTTCCAAGATGGGTGAGGTCTATGACCATTCACAGGTAAATAGTAATAGCCAACATTTAAGAGCACTTGCTGTGTGTCAGTCACTGTTCTGGGTGCTTTACTTATATCAGCTCTTACTCCTGGCAACAAGCCCATTAGGTGGGTACTGCCATTATGCCAGCTTGCCCTCAGAGGGACGCAGCCCCAGATCTCACAGTTAGAAACCCGATGAGCGGGGTTAGCCCAGGCAGCCTGTTTCCAGAGCCTGCTGTTCTCATAACACTTAATACTGTCTCTATGCCTGACTCTGAGTCCCCGAATGGTGCAAATAGTTAACCAGCTCTGCTGCTAACTGAAAAGAGGGACTGACAGGTTGGAGGTTGGAGTCCACCCAGAGGTGCCTCGGAAGAAAGATCTGGCGAGTTTTGAAAAACCAGTCTTTGAAAACGCTATGGAACACAGTTCTGGTGACCATGAGTAGGAATGGACTGGACGGCAGCTGGTACTGGTATGTCTGACTCTGTAATTGCTAAAAGGAGTATGTTCGTGTGCATTATTCACCATCACACGCTCAGAATTTAGCACAGTGCCTGGCACGTAGTAGATGTTCATAGTTATTTGTTGATTAAATGGATGAACTTTTGGTAGGCAGAGAGGGCTGGGGCAAGATCCGGCAACAACAGACAGCTCCTAGAGGTGGAATGCAAACTTTCTTCCGTGGGCTGGCGCTGCCAGGCCCGTCCTTACCGCTTCCGTACACCCAGCCAGGCCCTGAGCTGAACTCCTGGTTTGCATGCATCTGCCCAAACAGGCAAAGGCATAGCAGGCAGCGCCCTGAACAAACCAGAAAAACAACCTTCCTCTGCTCCGGAGCCCACGGCCGCGCACAGCTGCTCTACGCAGCTTGCAGAAGCGAGGGGCGCCTCCCGGGGCCCGGGCGCCTGCCCGCCGAGGTCTTCTCTGTCGCGCAGCCGCGCCCGGTGGGTGGAGTGTGAGCCGCAGAGGCACCCTGGACTCTGCACCCTCAGGTGTGTGGGTCCTGCCTCCCGGCGCGGCGTCTCGGCTCTCCTCTGCCCGTCCATGGAAGGGGCCGCGTCTCCATTGCCAGGAGATCAGCTGGAGCTCTCGGTGCTGGACCAGCAGCCGGACGAGCAGACGCTTCTAAATGGAGCTGTCCAGATCATCCCTTCTTCGGCCCAGGAGCCCAGCGGAGCCCAGGTAAGGTCTCCTCGGCGCTGGCTTTAACGCGCAGGCGGCGTTATCCGAGCGCGCTGCCAGTCAGAATCCCGGCCAGCTGCCACGCCCGGCATCCACACAGTTTCGGTTTTCCAGCCAGCTCTGCCGGCGTAACAAACCGGGAGAGGGTGGTGCGGCTTTGAACATTCTGAATGGGGCGCAGGGAGGAATGCGTCTCACGGGAGCTCGCTGGAGGCCCCTCCGACCCCCGTGACACTTTAGAAATCCTAGATGTGAAGTGTGGCTGCTCTTTTCTTGAGAGAGAGAATTCCCAGAGGCAAAGGTGACTTTTAAAATATTATGTAACTTTTAATTTTAGTTTTTCAAGCAGGGAGAACTGGGTGACAGATCGAATCTCCTCCTCTTCGTCGCAATCCCTTCTGTCTCCCTCTTCCCTTTACTGCCTTGCCCTTTCACCCACTCTGCTTCTTCCTCACCCCATCCCCCACCCTACACCACCCTTTGTATCTTCTCCCAGGCGGCTTCTTGACTTCACAGTAAGGCAGAGCGCGGAAGTAGCAAGAACAAGACCATCTAGGAGTGGTGTGGAGGAGGGGTGATGATGAACTTGCCGAACTTGCCCGGCTCAGTTGAAGGAAATAATTTCAAAATTTTTGTCCCAAAGAACCAGACTAGCCTCATGCGCTTTCGCCTCGTCTCAAAACCTAAGGGGGTGCCTGGTGAGCTCTTTCTCTGATTTAACCCTAGCAGTGACAGGAGCATTATGCATCTCATCAAATACTTGTAAAGCAGTGGAGACTTTGAATTTCGTTCCATTCACCTTTGAGTAACCCCTAAAATTGGCTTGAGGTGGACTGTGTACCAAACCAAAACCAAACTCATTGCCATCGAGTCAATTCTGACTCACAGTGACCCTGTAGGACGAGTAGAACTGCCCCATAGAATTTCCAAGGCTATACTCTTTACAGAAGCAGGCTATCACATCTGATAGGTTCCAGCCACTGACCTTTCCGTTAGCAGCCAAGTGCTTAACCACTGCACCACTAGGGTTCCCTCAGACTGTGTACAGGGAGCCACATATATGGTACCAACCTGATCTTTCTAGGTCTTACACTCAGCCACACCTTTGGTTGCTCAAGTGTTGGTTTCAGGGATAAGCAGGAAGTTCAAAAGTTGAAAACATTGCTTTTGCTAAACACTGATTCCTGGAAATAGTATAAATCTGTTTTTTATAGGTACCCTGAAAGTGATCTGATACCTTGATACTTGAATGAAATATGAATACAAAAAAAGAATGAAAGTTGAACAAAGATGGTTTGGTCACCAGTGCAAGTGGCCACAGCTGTAGCCTTAATACTCAAGGGCAGTGTCTTAAGAATGGGACTATGGGAACACATGGTAGAAAGAACCAGAACACCCCAAAGACTATATACTTTGGATCTGAATTCAGATATCTGAGTTCTATTGATGTCACACACAAGTAAAATTTTGGTGAGGACAGTTCAAGGACGGTTACAGCAGTACATTGACAAGGAACTCCCAGAGATTCAAGCTGGGTTCAGAGGAGGATGTGGAATGCGGGGTATCATTGCTGACGTGAGATGGATCTTGGCTGAAAATAGAGAATATCAAAAGATGTTTACCTGTGTTTTCTGGACTATAAAAGGCATTTGACTATGTGGATCATAACAAATTATGGATAACATTGCGAAGAATGGGAATTCCAGAACACTTAGTTGTGCTCATGAGGAACCTGTACATAGATCAAGAGGCAGTTGTTTGAACAGAACAAGTGGATACTGCGTGGTTTAAAGTAGGAAAATGTGGGTGTCAGGTTTGTATCCTTTCACCATACTGATTGAATCTGTATGTTGAGCAAATAATCCGAGAAGCTGTACTATATGAAGAAGGATGTGACATCAGGATTGGAGGAAGACTCATTAACAACCTGCAATATGCAGATGACACAACCTTGCTTGCTGAAAGTGAAGAGGACTTGAAGCACTTACTTATGAAGATTAAAGACTACAGCCTTCAGTATGGATTACACATCAACATAAAGAAAACAAAACTCCTCACAACTGGACCAATAGGCAACATCATGATAAATGGAGAAAAGATTGAAGTTGTCAACGATTTCATTTTACTTGAATCCTTAATCAATGTCCATGGAAGCAATAGTCAATAAATCAAATGTATTGCATTGAGCAAATCTGCTGCAAAAGTGTTAAAAAGCAGGAATGTCACCTCAGGGACTAAGGTTCACCTGACCCGAGCCATGGTATTTCAGTCGCCTCATATGCATGTGAAAACTGGACAATGAATAAGGAAGACTGAAGAAGAATTGAGGCCTTTGAATTACGGTGTTGGTGAAGAATATTGAATATACCATGGACTGCTAGAAGAATAGACAAGTCTGTATTGGAAGAAGTGCAGCCAGAATGCTCTTTGGAAGAGAGGATGGTGACTTTGTCTTATGTACTTTGGACATGTTATCAGGAGGGACCAGTCCTTGGAGAAGGATATCACGCTTGGTAGAGGGTCAGCGAAAAAGAGGAAGACCCTCAATGAGATGGATTGACACAGTGGCTGCAACGATGGGCTCAAACATAGCAAAGATGGCACGGAACCCGACAGTGTGTTGTTCTGTTGTACACAGGGTTGCTATGAGTCGGAACCGACTCAACGGCACCTAACAAAAAACAACAATGAAAACTTCACCATTAAAAGGTGTATGCCTGGGGACAAAGGACAGACTTCTGGTGTTAATGTAATGTGACCACTTGGATTCTGTGAGGACTGGGAATGCCTTTGTGAAAATGGGTTCAGAGTAGAAAATCTGAAGCACATGCAGGGTATCAGTGTTTGATAATTGTTTAGCACCCACCCTGTAGCATTTGCTCTTTTATGTCATGTATGCACAGGTAGCCGAGACTTCCTTGTGAGTTAACTTTGTAGGTCATCAAATAGGAAAGCTGTGGTGAGCGACCGGAACGCAGTGAAGGTCAGGGTCTACATGAGCCCATGCAAGGTATTCTAGAAATGCTTCAACAAGAAAAACCTAAAAAAAAGAGAGAAAACAAACAAACGAAAAAACATCTTTACCAAATATGCTAGTCATTCTCTTTGGTTATATAGAATAAGTTGAAGTGTATTTCAGCTTGAAAAGTCAGTATAGGGTCACTGGAAGTATTGGCTAGAATAAGCACAAGGCTCAGACACTTAAGAGTTTTGTGTGTAGGCCTCCTTAAAGTCTGTACTAAGATTTCCAATTTTGAAATGTAGCTTAAGTGCATGTATTTTTATTAATCATGTGTTTTGTACTTATCCTGTGCCAAATACTTCTGATACATAAATTCATTTAATTATACAACAAACTTAAGAGGAAGGTGTCAATATTCTGAATTGAGAGATGAAGAAACAGACTCAGAGGAGTTACCTAACATACTCAAGTTCATATAGTGGATCTGTGGTTTGGACCTAGATTTTTCTAGACCTCAAAATTTTTATATTTCTGTTGATTTATTATATATGTATATGTAAATATATAAAATATATGTAACATTAATGTGTTAGTAGCTTAGATATATAAATATAATTTATGTATGATTTATACTTACTTATAATTACCTCAATTACATATTACTAATGTGATGGTGTTGGTGAAGAATAGTGAATATACCATGGACTGCCAGACAAGCAAATTTGTCTTGGAACAAGCAAGGCCAGCACGCCCCTTACAAGGGAGGACGGCGAGACTTCGTCTTACGTACTTTGGACATGTTATCAGGAGGGACCAGTCCCTGGAGAAGGACATCATGTTGGTAAAGCAGAGGGTCAGTGAAAAAGAGGAAGACCCTCAACGAGATGGATTGACACAGTGGCTGCAATAATGGGCTCAAACATAGCAAAGATTGTGAGGATGGCGCAGGACCAGGCTGTGTTTCGTTCTGTTGTAACAGGGTTGCTAAGAGTCAGAACCAACTCAAAGGCAACAGCAATAACAACAACAATGTCTGTAAGTTAAGTAATTTATAATTAGGTAATTTAAGTGAAATATGAGGGGTTGGGTAGCACATCTGGAATGATGAGGGAGTTGCAGGTGAGTTGGTAGATGGGTAGATGGATGAGGGATGAGGAAGATTTGTGGCATCATTGGGAAGGAGACATCCTATATTGTGGGTATCTTTCTATTTGGAAGGCTGGGTGGGGGGGATTATACAGAGGCAGTGGAAAGAATATCCTTTGTTGATCTGGGTTTGGGGGTTGGGGAAAAGGAATATATAGTAAGCCACTTAACTCCACTTTGCCTGCCATCTTTGTAAACATGGCTGTCATGGTTTGAATTATGTCCCCCCAAAAATGTGTGTAACAATTTGGCTGGGCCATGATTCCCAGAATTGTGTGGTTGGCCTACATTTTTTGATTGTAATTTTATGTTAAAGAGGATTAGGGTGGGATTGTAACACCACCTTTACCCAGGTCACATCCCTGATCCAATGTAAAGGGAGTTTCCCTGGGGTGTGGCCTGCACCACCTTTTATCTCTCAAGAGATAAAAGGAAAGGGAAGCAAGCAGAGAGTTGGGGACCTCATACCATCAAGAAAGCAGTGCCGGGAGCAGAGCGCATCCTTTGGACCCAAGTCCCCACGCTGCTCAGCTCCAAGTCTGGGGGAGCGTTGAAGAAGGCCGACGGAGAGAGAAAGCCTTCCCCTGGAGATGACGGCCTGAATTTGGACTTTTAGCCTACTTAACTGTGAGAAAATAAACTTCTCTTCGTTAAACATCCACTTGTGGTATTTCTGTTATAGCAGCACTAGAGGACTAAGACAAGCAATATCATTGGGTCAAAAGTGAAAAATTATAGGGACTAGAGTAAGACTGGTTTTCTTTTATGGCTTATTACACAGGATTGGACCTCAGTTTCCTAACCAATATTGAAAAAATATTTTAAATGATAGCAGCATAATTGGAATAATAATAAATCAGTAAAGTGATAGTTTTGAGGCAGACAAGACTTACTAGAATGAATGGGTTTGCTAAAAATTAGCCATGTTGCTATACTTTGGAGAGATGTTCAGACTTTAGGACTAGAATAAACTGGTTCTTTTGTGTTTGGATCAAACAAGAAGTATGTTAAATCCCACAATGAAGATTATAAACTACAGATTTTCCTATATGCTTAGAAACTTTCCCCTGATCTATACCACCTATCTGTCAGCGGTGGCTTGTGTGTTGCTATAATGCTGAACTGATTTCAGCAGAACTTCCAGACTAAGATGGATTAGAAAGAAAGGCCTGGTGATCCAATTCTGAAAATCAGCCATGAAAACCCTATGGATCACAACAGTCCAGTCTGCAACTGATGAAGTGGGTGGTGCAGGACTGGGCAGCGTTCTTGTTCTGTTGTGCAGGAGAGCGCCATGAGACGGCATTTGGCTTGACAGCAGCTAACAACAACATATGATATCTGGTCCTTAGTGAGCCAAAAAGAAGAAGAATTTTTTGTATCCAAGAGGTAGTCTTACCATTCTTGCAGGATCCTGTGTCATGGATTTAGATCCTTAACTGGGGGGTGTCCAAAGGAAAGCCATACAAACTCTTGAGCATGGAATGCAGTCATACATTGTCAGAGGTAGTGTGCAGGAATCTTTGGAAGGCACCCTGCAGAAGAACCTGCCTGTGGCCTCTCCTCATGAACTGGAATTTGGGCAAGAGAGAATGAAGAAGCACTGACGGAAGCAGGGTGCCTTTGTGATGCAGTTTTGAGGGAGCTGAGCACAAACCTCTGGCAGTATATCAGAGGTTCTTCACTCTGAGGGCACGTTGGAACCTTCAGGGAATTTCTAAAAAATATGAATTCTGCAGCTGAATCTAATGTGCAGACAGCCAAGAAGCATAGTACTCTATTGTTTGGTTGGGTGTGGCTGTAATGACTTTAAGTCTGTGAAGATTCTTCATTCAAAGGATGGTGGCCAGTGGTCTCTGTCTTGGCTGAGGATAGGACATTAAAGGGGACCAGGCTGTAGAATGGCAGCTTTGGGCAGTACAGGAAGAGACATCTCCTACAGATGTTGTTAGCTGCTGTCGAGTTGGCTCCGACTCATGGCAGTCCCATGTACAACAGAATGAAACGTCGCTCAGCCCTGCACCATCTTCACCATCGTTACTATACGCTGGAGTCTGTTGTTGTGGCCACTGAGTGTTTTTAGTGCCTTCCAACCTAGGGGGCTCATTTTCCAGCACTGTAATGGACAATATTCTGTTGTGAGCCATAGGGTTTTCATTGGCTAATTTTTGGAAGTAGATCACCAAACCTTTCTTCCTAGTTTGAATCTAGAAGCTCCACTGAGACCTGTCCACCACGGGTGACTTCACTGGCATTTGAAATCCTAGTGGCTTGGCTTTCAGCATGATAACAACGTAGAAACCACCACAGAACAACACACCGACAGATGGGTGGTGGTCCTGAGGATGAGGGCTATGGAGTTCTGGCCAGTTCCTCCAAGGAGTCATGGAGTAGTGGTCGTCCCAAACCACAAGAGTCCTGGTTTATACTCTCTAAGGGACGGTGTAGGTGAAGGCACACGTGGCCAAGGGGTGCACTGAAACCCACTCAGTTGTTCATTCGAGACTCCGGATTGTTTCACTTTGTACTAATCTTTGTGGTTCCAGCTGCCGCTTGTATAAGGACTGAAAACGGCACTGGGTCATTTTGGTCTCAGGGGCTCTGTAAATGGGTGGGTAGGGGTAAGGTAGAGATATGTTTCTGCCTCCTGAGAAGCTAAATGTTCCTTATACTGGGACTTCCTTTTCCCTTGTGCCTTTTAAGCCCTTGGCTTTGGTTGCTTTAGGGCAGTTCTGTAGTGTTTGGGAGGAGCCGAGAAGTGGCTCTGTCCCTGTAGTCCAGAAACACACTTACCTCCAGAGGGCTTTCCTCTGTCCAGGTATCCCAGGGCCTGTGCTGGTCCCCTCACACCTGTGATAGACTGGGCGCAAGAGTCAGAGCGTAGTGTACACAGGGGCTCTAAAGTTTGACCTCTACTCTAGAACTTCTCCAAGCAGTCTTAAAACTTGTGGAGCCCTTCTAATTAAGGACACACATTTATCACATGCCACTTGCCTACATGAGGCACAAGTGAGGGGTGTAACAGGGAAGTCTAAGAACTCAGCCTTCCCTCTACATGGTTTCAGTTTACCTAGGAAGATAAGGCCAGTATCGATTTAGGTTTGACCCTGAAACTAGACAAGGCAGTCACTGGCAGTGGTGTATGAGCTATGTGGATGATTCATGTACTGTGAGATCTCTCTGTGGGCGAGGCAGTATGGGAAGTCTCCGAAAAAGGTGAGATTTGATCTGGTTCCTGAAGGATGGCTAGGCTTCAGACCAGAGACCTCAATCCTGGTAAAGCAATTGATTCACTTTTAGAGGTTCAAAATACAAACCAGGACCTCCCCCTAACTCCTCTACAATCTGGCCCACTAGGTCCAGGTGGGGCCTAGGCATCTGTAGTTTAAAATACTCCCCAGGTGATTCTGATATGCAGCCAGGCTTCTTGTTGTTTGGCTGCCGACTCATAGCGACCCCGTGTACAACAGAATGAAGATGCTGCCCAGTCCTGCGTCACCCCCATGATCAGTTGCAGATAGGATTGTTGTGAACCATAGGGTTTTCATTGGCTGATTTTCAGTAGATTGCCAGGCCTTTCTTCCTAGTCTTGTTCTGGAAGCTCTGCTGAAACCTGATCGTCATCATAGCAACATGCAGGCCTTCATTGACAGACAATGGTGGCTGCACATGAGGTGCATTCAAACCGGGTTTCCCTCATGGGAAGCAAGAAGTCTACCACTGCACCACCAATGCCTCTTGCAGCCAGGCTTGGGAACCTCTGATTTAGAAAGTTTTAAGTGTAGTCCTAATGTGGACTGAGGTTTCCTTTTCTGATGGCAGCCACCAGAATAAAGACAAGAGAGAAAGTAAACAAGTTGTTGATTTGGGAGCGAGCCTTGTCAAGTACCAGCTGTGACTCTGTGGGGGAGAAGACGCCCTGAGGAATGAGTTCCTACTGTTTGTTCAGCAGCTGCTTCATGTGCGTTATTTCTGGTTTTAGCAGTAACCCTGTGAGCTAGACTGTTTTTTTATAATGTGATAGTTGAGGACACTGTGGCCGGCAAGTGTCGGTAGTTTGCTTAAAGCCACAGGGCCTGTAAGTGGTATATCTGGGATTGGAATCCCAGTGTGTCAGATGCAGAACACACGTTACACCGTTTCCCATGGTCTCCATTTTGTTGTTAGTTGCTGTAGAATCTGCTCCAGCTCATGGTGATGTTCTGTAAAACAGCGCAGAACTTTACCTGGTCCTGCGCCGTCTTCATGGTCTTTGGTAGGTTTGAGTCCGTAGTTGTGGCTATTGTGTTAATCCATCTCACTGAGGGTTTCCCTCATTTTCGCTGACCCTCTGCCAAACAGGATGTCCTTTTCTAGCAATTGCTCTTTCCTCATGACATGTCTAAATGAACGAGCCGAAGTCTGTCCGTCCTGGTCTCCAGGATTGGATTATCTAATGCTGCAGCGAGAAGTCAAAGTGTCATGGGCCTTTTAGGGGCCAGTGGAGGCTGAGTGTGGGTGCCCTCTTGACAGCCAGGCACCCTCATAACCTGGAGTCCATACTGTGAAGCTGGGAGCCTGCGACAGAGGAAGTCACATGGCAGGGATCAGTGCTGCCTGATCTCTCTGCACCGCATGTCTGAAGTGGGGGACTGCCTGCCTTGAGGGGCTGTTAGGGTAAAGTAAAATGGTGCTGGTGCTCACTAAACTATAGCAGTTGTAGTTATTTTCTTTGACATTGCATTCTGCCTCACCACGCCCACAGCAGCTGATTTCCAGGTGTCTCCTTTCCCTTCCAGGACCTTATAGACAAGGTCTGGGCCACAACAGGAGCTTGAGCTTTCTCCTGGTGTGTCCAATCGAAACTGTGCATCATTTTTCCTACTAATCTTAAACTCAACTCTTGTGCTCCAAACCCTTCAACAGCTCCTCAGTACACATCAAATTAAGCCCAAATTCCTTAGGCAACGCTCAAAACCCGCTCCAAAGTCCTCCGAACATTCACCATCTCAAATCATTACTCTTATGGCTCTCCTCTGAGACCCATGTTTCATTCAAACTAGTCTGGTGGCCAGCCCCGTTATGGGTCACACTGCGAGTGTTCCTTCCCTCGTCTGGAAGGCCTTTCTCTATCCGTCCTTCAAAATTCCACCCTTCCTCCTTGAAAGCTTTCTTCATCTCCCCAGCGCAGAGCCCCCAGGACATTTTCTTGCTGATTTCCTTTTGAGGGTCCATTCTACCTCTTCTATTTGTTTGCAAACTTGACCCAGTAGAGTGTAAACCTCCTGAGGTCAGAATTCTGCTGCTTTCACTTCTGTATTCCTGACCCATTTAAAAAAAAAACAGAACAGAAAACAAAAACAGTTGCTGTTGAGTCAACTGTGAATCATGGCAACCCCATAGGTATCAGAATAGAACTGTGCTCCATAGGGTTTTCAATGGCTGATTTTTCAGAAGTAGATTGACAGGCTTTTCTTCCGAAGTGCTTCTGGGTAGACTTGAATCTCCAAGCTTTTGGTTAGCAGCTGAGCGTGTTAACCTTTTGTACCACCCAGGGACTCCTAGTAGGTATAAAAAAGGGTTTGTTGAAATTAAGTGACTGCCTCATGAACTTCCTTTGTTTTTTAGGCTATTGAGCAAAGCCCCTGGAGCTCCTGCAATAAGAATTTGGTGGGAAAGTGTGAACTGTGGATGGTCATTGTCTCCATTTTCGTCAGTCTCATCCTAGTCATCATCTTAAGCCTATGTCTTATTGGAGGTAAGAGGACGCAACATGAGGGAGTTGACACATTTCACGGACTGTAGTCTTATGACTATACTGAAATGGAGGGTGGACTCACTGCTGTTTCATTATTTATAACATCAGTTTGAAATTGTTTTGAACTATGTTGCATGTGTGGTAGATGGAAGTGATTCTTTGTTTCATTTTGCTTCTTTGATAATCCCAGGAAGAAGGCTGGAGACCAGGTTCATAACTCCTAACTCTCCCACTGGTCTTTAGAGTAGAGTTGGACTTTGAAGAATTTTCTTGAAATTTTAGTATACTTCACTAATTTCACTAATTTATATTTTATTTATATTTCTACACCTGCTTGCTTTTTTTCTTTAAAAAGTTTTTAAATTAAAATAATTATTGTATTTGACCTGGTATTCCTTGTATATTATTCTAATGACAAAATGAAGAATAATGTATTTGCAAGAGTTTTTAAAAACTTTATAGAAACATGTGAGTGTAACCTACTATTATTTTAACTTATTTTAGGAATAACTTGTTTGTAACATCTGTGTAGTACGTGTGAAGAAATGAAAACTTATACAGTGCTAAGGGAGTTCTGGTGGCTCAGTGGTTAAGATATAATTCTACAGAGAAAAAGGAACACCAACTTAATTTCTAGGAGCGATTGTTTGTGATCATCACTGTTAGCAGCACTCAATGTCTTGTCACAATATTACTTCCTTATCTTTCACTAAAGGAGCGCTGGTGGTGCAGTGGTTACAGCACTCGACTGCTAACCGAAAGGCCACTGGTTTGAACAGTGGGAGTAAGATGTGGCAGTCTGCTCCCTTAAAGATAACAGCCTTGGAAACCCTACGGGGAAGTTCTACTCTGTCCGATAGGGCCACGATCTGTCAGAATCAACTCGGATGGCAACGGGTTATGGTGCTAACTACATACTTTACGATAATTTTATTTATTCATTTATCATGAACATAAAAATAACGTATGTTGTTACCCATAAAGTCCATCCATATTATTAATGTTTTGTTATATTTTCTCCTGGTCTTTTTCTTACTTGCATTCTTTACCTAATTTGAGGTAACAATTTTTTCTTTTTATAGTTTTGTGGTCTGCTTTTAGATTTTAATGTTACATTGAGATCATTTTGCCAAGTAATTAAAAATTGTGAACATCATTTTTTTTTCTTTCTTATGTTTTTTTTTTTTATTGTACTTCAGGTGAAGGATTACAGAACAAATAGTTTCTCATGAAACAGTAGTACACATATTGTTTTATCACATTGGTTAACAACCCCACAACATGTCAACCCTCTAACTTCTC